TATTTTTTCTCCATATCTATTTTTTTCCCCAACTAAATATACTAAGAAAAAGGAGGATGCAAACATGGTAGCCATATTTAACATGTAAAATGTAATAGTCTATAATGCAAATGCAAGGTCATTTAGTTTATAGTCAGCTGATGTTTCCTGTGCATAGTAAAAAAAAAAAAAAGGCCCAACAGCACCTTCAAGTAGGATTACCAGCTCCTGACATCCATTCCACCCTGTAATTCCCACTCAGCATGTAAATCTGTATTGTACACTGAAGCAGGCATGGACAAGGCGAGTAAAGAACGTCTTTTGGAATGATTAACAAAGTGCCTAATTAGACTAGAGATGCAGATGGAGTAATGTAAAGTTAGACTGCAGCATTATTACAAGTTCAGGATTAGGTGTTCCCAGATCATCAGGCTTAGCAACCAGTGGGTTTTACACGGTGGAGTGATAAAACATATAAGTGGCTTAATAATGTTCGAGAATTTACTAGAATGAAACTTCCACGTCAATCAAATTTTCTTTGCTTAAAGCAGAACTTCAGCCAAAGACGAGATAAAAACAAAAGAGCCCGTTAAAAGATAAAACAAACAAGCTTTTGCTGCAATATTCAGAGATGACCCCAAAGTACTGTTTTTCTGCAGCAAGATTAGCTCAGTCTGATGGCCGGCATCATTCACCACCACCTCCTCTGACCCCTGGTTGACCTGAACCCACCGTAGAAAGCAGGTTAGTGACCAGAGGAAAATAAAATGTTACAATGAATGTTAAAGACAGCAAACCCTGTGAAACATCCGCAGTTCACCTCATTGTAGATTCATCAGTAGATGAATAAATGTAAAAAGTTTTCATTGTAGGTATACGACAGACAGTCATGAATACGGGTTCTGTGGTTATTTGTGACAATGCACTAAAAGTTTAAACACACCAACAACATCACTTCCTCTGCAAAGCCGGACTGATGGCTTCCCGTCGATCTTTTTAAGCCAACCAACAGTCGCCGAGTGTGGAGAGATCGTTGAAAAGAATTGTGCAAAAACATAATTGCAAGCCAGATATCGTGACCTTTTGTGGCTCATCTCCCAACAAGTAGATGAACCCCATAGACGTCTATGGGGCTCTACTGCGCAAGCGCGGCAAAAAGGGAGATGACTTCTGCGTAGGCTACAAACAATGTACTTATTCTTTAAAGTGTATTTCCACTTTCGCAGCCAAACTGGGATACCACCTATTTTATGTTTGTTCCATTTCACATAGCACAAGCTAAAAGAAAAAAAAAAAAAAAGGATTCTTGCAGTCTAAACTTCTATTAGTTGGGTTAGGGTTTTAAGGGTTAACCTTTCTATACTTGCTTATTTATTTCTTTGCAATGTTAGGAGAGGCTGTGAGCCGTCTGCGGTGGCTCGTCCCTTGTATGTTAAGTGAATGAGAGGAACACAATCCTCAAAATGTTAGTCCTTTTCAACATAACATCTTAAAAAGGCAAGAAATATTTTGTTTATTTTTCTTTGTGCTGTGTGAACAGGATCACAAAACATATAGAGGGGTTTCTCAAATTTGATTGCACAAGTGGAAATAGTCACACTTTTAAGTGATACCCTTAAGCTGGGTACACAGAGAATTTTGGTGGATTTAGCAGAAATCTAATAGCAGCCGCTGTCAGAATACAATGTAAACAAAACGCAGAAGCAAGCTGCTTAGTGTGGACAGAGGAATATTTTCTTCATTCAGCCTACAGGTTGAACAAAGTGGTCCGGAAAGCATCTTAAAAAAACTTAGTATGCCAATAAAAGGCATCACTTAAAGTGTCACTAAACTCAGGAGATCAATCTTAAAAATTCCTTCAGGTACCGTAACGATTAACAAAAATTTATCTTATTTGTGTATCACTCGGCTGTAGAGCCTCAAATCATCTCTGAATTGGTGCTGACACTGTCCTTCCTTCTGGAGGGGGGCTACTATTTGTTCCCCATGGTCCCTGTGTGTCTTGTAAAGTAGCCACCGCTCCAAGCTCGTAGACGTGATGGACTACAACCTCAATACAAATTAGTAAACTAAACATGAGATTGTAGTCCATCATAGAGCAAGCTTGGAGCGGTGACTACTTCACAACACACACAGGGACCATGAGGAACAGAAGTAGCCCCCCTCCAGAAGGAAGGACAGTGTCAGCACCAATTCAGAGATGATTTAAGGATCTACAGCCGAGTGATACACAAATAAGATACATTTTTGTTAATAGTTAAAAAGGTACCTGAATGTATTAAGATTTAAAAAGGAGAACTATGAGGTGAGTGCTTTTCACTCATCCTCATAGTTCTAGCCGACCTGTGACAATGAGACTGTCACAGGTCGGCTCAGTAGATCGGGAAGTGAGCGAACACATACCGGTGATCGATCGAAAGTTCGAACTTATCGAGTTCTGGGACCGCATTACTTCCGGTTTCCTTAGAACTACGAGGTTTGCACACAAAACTTCTTCTGCACGAGCGCCATCCGCGGCATTGCTCTATACACATGCACCACAGCAATAAGTAATAAAATGAAGTCGGATCACAGTAATCAAGCACGTTATTTATCTCCGGTGCCCCACTCAAGCGGCAGCCATATTGAGTGGGGCACCGGAGATAAATAACGTGCTTGATTACTGTGGTCCCACTTAATTTTATTACTTTGCTTTGGTGTATGTGTATAGGGCAATGCTGCGGATGGCGCTAGTGCACAACAAATTTCTTGCCCAAAACTCGTAGTTCTAAGGAAACCGGAAGTCATGCGGTCCCACAACTCGATAAGTTTTTACTATCGACAGAACACCGGCGCTCGCTCACTTCTCGATCCTCTCACTGCAGAGAGCCGTGACAGGGGAGGGACTGGATTCCCCTGCCCCCCTGTCCGATCCTTCAGCGCTGACTGTAGGAACGGACGGAGGAGGGGGCGGGTACAGCTGGCTCTGCCTCTAGATAGGCAGAGCCAGCTGTCAATCACGCAGCTGGGTGGATCGACAGTAACGTCGTGATCCATCCCGGCTGCGGCGGTCTCAGTATATAGTGAGCTGTAGATCGCGGTATACTGAGCTTAGGGTGACGGGAGGACGCTAGTTTGTGACCTCCCGTTACCCTTAGGAGAACTATGGGGAAAACACTGACCCCATAGTTCTCCTTTAACTCCTGAGTTTGGTGTCACTATTTTCAGCATTGATCAATGGCCAAGATTACTACTTGGCTATCCGCCCAAAATTTCACCAAAAAAAAAAAAGGAGCGCAATCTCTTGTGCAAAGAATGCTGTTGATTTTACAGTGCCCTGCCTGTGAGGTTTATACATAAAAGGTTGACAGACAATGATAACAGGCAGCTACACAGCATTCAGCAGCAGACTGATATCTGGAGAGATTATCTGAATTCTATTTGTAGCTGCAATACCTCTCCAGCCCCGGGGTGTTTACAGCAGCACGCCCTTCCATTTCCAATTGCAGCCG